ACGGTGACAGATGTCCTTTAAAGGTAATTTTATATGATGATCATAACATAAGTCTATAGAAAAAGCTTTCTCTATCAGATATTAAAAATCCAATGCCTTATACAAATTTTTAAATTATGACAAAGTCTGCTATTATAAATTACTTATACTAAACCCTTCTCATAATATTTAGAATAACACAGTAATATAATACCAGTAGTCCCTAAGTATTGAAACTGTCTTTTACCCATTAAACTAAACTGAATCCATGAAATCAGCTCTGCCTTAATTTGCACCCTTTCAAAAAATTCAAAACATTAAAAATGCTGTAGGTGTGACATATAACAACACAGAAAAGGCTCTGTTTTTATTTGGAACTTAAGCCATACTATCCCCATTTTATCCACAGACAGGATTTCAATGCATAAATCCGGAAGATAAACAAGGACTACAAATGTGAAGTGTGAAGAGACGTGAACCATAAAGCTACAGTAATTTCTTTCATTTATTTCCCTAATTGCATACTCATCTTCTAGTAAAATTTTAGTTTATCTAGTTAAACTAAATAATGGCATGTTTTAACTATGGGGGCTTCCAATAGGACTATTTTCAACTTTGCAAACCATTATCTATTCCAGAGTAATACTGGTATGGTCTTATTTTTTAAATAAAATATATTTAAGTTGAATACAGTAGCTCACACCTGTAATCCCAGCACTTTGGGAAGCTGAGGCAGGAGGATTGCTTTAGGCCAGGAGTTTAAAACCAGCTGGGAGACAGAGAGAACCTGTCTCTAAAACTCAATCAATCAATAAGTTAAATTAAATATACATGTGATAGAGGAATAGATTTTGTAAGTATATCAACTCATGTCCACATATTCTACTTTACAAACAGAGATATTTCTTAAAATAGTAACTTTATTTAGTAAAATGCTCTTAGATTCTGGTTTTGGTGTTCCCATTCTACAAATAAAGCAAAACCTTGAAACCAAATACAAAGACATGCCAGATTAAAATCCAAATACGATGCCATGCATCAAACTTTATTCTATTGGGAATAGATGATGTTTTATAAATGTCTCCTAAGTTTATATGGATTCTGTGGAGACTTTCTGTAACTTTTATCTCAGACATTTTATCACTTCTTACACATCTACTCCATTACTCCTGGATCTTCCAGTAAAATAACAGACTGGACTACTTGTTCTTGCCTACAAATTGTTTCTAAATTTTCAATTATTAAATGTCTTTTCTTCTAATTTCAATTCTCAACTGAAAACTGGTAAAGCATTTTAATGTTCAGTGTATTAGCTCATTATCTGTAAAACTAATACTGTGAAGCTATAATTTTTATAAAGAAATACTCACCATTACCACCAAAGATATGAATATCCAACTGTTCACAAAGGTACATTACAAATGTATTCACCTGAGGCAGAAGACCAATGAAAAATACTATTGGGAAACAGAGTGTAAACACTATAGAAGGAAAGAAAAGTACATTAAAAATATTATACTATAGCCACCTTTTACTCACTGAAAGATCATAAATGACAAAAAAGAATCCAAAATTAACATCAGCTACTAATAAGTTTTAAAAGATAACCATTTTAAATTACTTGTCTAGACATAATTGGATGGGTATTAAATAAAATCTTTTCAACCTATGAACAATTCCTTTTAAGATTTCAACTATTTTCACATAATAGGGATCTAAGATAAAGAATCAAAACAAATCTTTCCATTACACCTCCTTCAAGGACATAAAATTACTATGTATTTGTTATCATTAGCTTTTTTCATTCATCATAGCCCTATGGTTTTGTTCCTCAGAGAGAAATATATATAAAAAAAACTTATTAAAACTATTTTATCTGTTTAGTTAACATATTTATCAGTGAGCTGATGATATAAAAATAAATGAAGGTTAAGATTAGATACTTTAAGAAAACTCACCTATAACGAAATCCCTGGCTGATATAAACACCAGTGGATTGGTGAACGTTATTCCATATAATTTGAATTTGCTTGCAGTCAGGTTTCTGCTACCATAATCCAAGAGCCAAATAAGACCACAACATAAACAGAAATAAACTGGTCTACTGTAGGCAATGATACGATTATGACCCTGAAAATGATATTTTTTAAAAAGTCAGATTAGTTAGTTTAAAAGTCATAACTATTGAGATTACTGATGCCTAATGTTTAAGGATACAAAATTCTTCCATATGGAAGCCAAGTTTCTGACACTCACAGAAGGAAATGACATAGAAAGGAGGAAGAATAGAATGAACTGAACTTTGACTCTGAATTAAAATTAGATGTATCTGGGCGGCCCTGGTAACTCAGTGGGTAGGGCGCCAGCCACATACACCAAGGCTGGTGGGTTCAAACCCAGCCCAGGCCAGCTAAAACAACAATGACAACTGCAACAACAAAAAAATAGCCAGGCCTTGTGGTGGGCGCCTGTAGTCCCAGCTACTTGAGAGGCTGAGGTAAGAGAATTGTTTAAGCCCAAGAGTTTGAGGCTGCTGTGAGCTGTGACACCATGGCACTCTACCCAGGGCAACAGCTTGAGACTCTGTCTCAAAAAAAAAATAATAATAACAAAATAAAATATAAAACAAAATAAAATTAGATGTATCAGTATGAACTCATTATTTTAAATATGCCTGTAAATCAATATAAGAATTGATAAGATCCGTGTGTGTGTACACACACATACATATTATACCGTAGTTTTCTCTACTGAGAAGACCTAGAGGCAATGACATTCTAGTAAGAAAGATTTCTAGCTTCCAGATCTTAGTTTATAAATACATACAAAAACCCAAGGCTCAATGTTAATGTTCTAGTTTCATAACTGCATTAAGTTATATGAAGGCATGCCAGTTTCAGGCGAGAGTAGGTAAATTATAAGCTCAACGTAGAACATATTGTTCTAACAAAAAGGTAGACGTACAAAGAATGACAGAGATGCTTCAAAAGGATAAGGAAAGGCAGCTTGATGGATTCCCAGTGGCTCAATCAAAGACAATGTGATCATCAAATAAACAGTATTTGTCATGTTATAGTCCACTGAATAAAATAATCTGCTTTAGACATATATTAACTATGAGAGAAAAACAGTAACTTTAAAGTAGAGGAGTGAATCTTAAGGAAAAGGGAGGAAGTTTGGCCTCCCAGGAGACATATGGCAACGCCTGGATCCATTTTTGTTGCCACAATTGAGGTGGTACCACTGGCATGCAGTGGGTAGAAGCCAAAGAGAACGCTAACCATCCTATAATGCACAGGACA